TCTTTCTTTCTTTCTTTCTTTCTTTCTTTCTTTCTTTCTTTTTCTTTCTTTCTTTCTTTCTTTCTCAGGACACCAGTTCTGGTACAGGAAGGCCTCATTAAGACCACATGTAACCATAATTACCTCCAAGTACGGTCCCATTGGGGCTTAGGGAATTTGGGGTAAAAACAGTGAAGTCCATAACAAATCCATATTAATGAATGTGAAGCCAGAATGAGTTATATTTAAAATTTTTTCATTGGATTTGTAGGGGAAAGGGCTCCTAAATACAAGAACTTTAAGTTCACAATGCATTATGGGCTGAATTATGCTGCCCCAGAATGCATAATGCTGAAGCCTTACCACCCCTCCCATACCTCAGAATGAGACTGTATTTGAAGAGAAGGTTTGAAGGTGCTGATTACATTAAAGTGAGCCCATTAGGATGGTCCCTTATCCAATCTGACTGGTGTCCTAATAGGGAAAGGAGATTGGACACATACAGAGACACCAGGGGTGTGTGTGCACAGAAGACCATGTGAAGAGGCAGCAAAAGGGCTGCCATCGGCAAGCCAAGGAGAGAGGCCTCAGACGACACCAATACCACTGTCAGTGTAGTCTCAGATTTCCAGCCTCCAGGACTGTGAGAAAATAAATTTCTGTTCTTTGAGCCACCATGTCTGTGGTATTTTATCATGGCAGCCTAGGTGAACTAGTATCCACTGATTATGTCTCCAGACAATAAGAGGCAGTCCCGAACATTTTAATAAACAACACACAGCTTTTTGTCTCCTCTCATACTTAGGGAACCACACTTCACAAATCTCTTTCACAGCACACAAAGAAAAATTCCTGAAAACGAGACCAAACACTATTAAATACACTTCTATCCCAAACACAGACCACTTTGGAAGCACTCCCAAAAGTTGTTTTTCCTCCTAAAAATTCTACAGAATTTTAAATTGTCATTAACTGAGAACTAACCAGTTCCAGTTGGTAACCAACTTATTTATTGAAATAGGAACATAACCTCAATGAATGAAAGATTAGAGTGTTTCTGACATTCAAAAAGAAGACTTACCTTTGTTTTCAGTTCTAGAATTTTTACTCCATATATTGATATTTGCAGCTCAACTTTAGGAATTTTCTGGCCTTCGGATTTCTTGATATGTCTTGCAAACTACAAATGAAAAGTTATTCAGAAAACTATAATTCTGTTTCCATGGAAAATGAACACACACATATATATATATAATTAGATGTGTGTGTATACATATGTATAATATATATTTGGAGTTTGTATTCAGTGCTGGACTTCCATTAAATAAATTATTATCCATTGCAAAGTATTTTATAAACCCTGAATAGCTTCAAAATATTTAGTAATCATAGCAATCTACCATTACTATCATTAAATTCAGATATTCAATAACCTTTTAAAAAATTTTAATACTTCTTTCATTATATTTAAACAATTATAGTCATACTAACTATTAAGAAAATGAAAACTTTGTGGGTGGATCTTTTGTTTTTAATACCTTTAGGGAATTTACAGTTCCCCAGTGCTAGATATACCATCTTTGTCATTTCTAGATACTTACCTTATTTGGTAATGCCATCCTACCCAATCAAATCAATGAATGAAAAGAGACAGATTACCGTATTTAAATTGAAGTTAAGAACTGAAGTAATTATCCCAGCTAAAAGAGTAAGAACTAGACTCAGTCTAGAATTAAGAGTATCTTAAAAACCCAAACATTTTTCCACTGTTTTCACAGTAATATTTATTGTAACTTCTTATTGAATTGGTAAGTGTATGCAAATGCCTATTAGGTTTTTTTTATAAAAGAAAAAAGAAAATCCCAACATTCCTGCACTTTGTAAATGGGAGTTTCTGTCTCTCTCCCCTCATTGCCAGATTTAGTGGTGGAAAAAATTATAGGAGCCCAGTTAAATTTGAATATTAAATGAAGACTTAAAACTTTTATTTTAGAATACACATCTATACTCCGTATAGATGTGTACACACATATAATGCATACATGCTAGTTAGTGTAAGTATGTCCCATGCAATATTTGGGACACATACTTACACTAAAACAGTATTCATTGTTTATCTGAAGTTCAAAGTTGACCAAGTGTCCTGATTTGGCAATGCTATTGTCAATGTTGCCCTGTCCCTACTTTACTTCTTTCTACCATCCTCCTACCTTTCTTTTTAAGAAATGGGCGGGGGGCGGGGGAGAGGGAAGGACTATGGAAAAAATAAGGTATTTTACTCCTCTTCTAGGGCCTCAAAATATTATTTCCCTACTATTATAACATTTTTTCAGCATATGGATCATCCTCATTTGACTCAAAATAGATTATATGTAAGGCAGGGTGGGGTTTCAGTCCTCTTTTGTATGTCATATTTATTTGCATTGTGCACTTCTAATTTAGGACAGATGTGAGTACACATGGTACAGTTCAGTCCTAAAGCACAGAGTGGTTAAAAGCCCTTTTGTCTTTTCATGGCTTTGCACTGCCCTCAGAATAATATAATTAATGCATACACAAATGCCTAAAAGTGTCTGCCTTGCTATCCTGGGGTGGGGGATACCATTTGTTTATTTCATTTTGGGAGGTATAATTTTTTAGCTTGCTATCTGTCCTGTTCTATGAATGCAGGCAGCTCTCATTTTGCATCCAGAAGTCTTACATTCTGCTCATGAATTGGACGAATTTGTAGCAGATAATTTTTTGTATGTCTTCAAGAAACATGTTTTGTTTCAGATCTTTAAAAATTATTCCAACTCAGGCGCCCGGCTAGCTCAGTCAGTAGAGCATGGGACTCTTAAAAATTATTCCAACTCTCTCCCAAAGAAAGTAGATTCAGTTTGTTTATTTTCCCTTCAGAATCTCCTTCCTGTGTTGCCATAATTAAAATAATTTGGGGGTTTTCACATATGAAGGCTTATAAAATAAATCAGCGGCTTCTATCTGTCTCTGTGAATGCATCTGAGTACATCCACTCCCATCACGGGCTGCAGCAGCAGGCTAAGCTGGCCTCCTGGATGCTGCTCTCTTCCAGAAACAAGACACTGAGCAGTGGCTCTTGTTTTTCCACATCTGGCCACCACCATTCCTGCGACCTCTTCTAGTTTCCCAAGTCTGTCACAGAACAACCACTAATACTAAACCTCATTGAGTAACTTCTTTCCTGCCACGGAAAAGAAAAGAAGAAATCATGTAAGAAATGACAAAAAGGAAAAAGTGGGGGCTATAGATAGAGAAAAAAAAGAAAGAAAAAAAAAACAAATAGGAGAGGAAGGAGGGAGGAAAATGAAAACAAAAGAATGAGATCAAGAAAAAGGAACAAAATATCCGATGTAGGGGCTTGAGATCTTTTTCTCTGCTTCTTATCAAGATGAAGTAATTGTGCTCAAAAAAGATTTATAGGTCATCCAATCCAATACCCTGGTCATAAAATGGGCTTGTAGCAGTCAGGCTGAGAATCTAGTTTTGCAGCTACCCACTAAATAACTCTTTTCTTTTGCACAACACAGTTTCTACATTAAAAAAATAATAATAAACTTCCCAGTTTTACTTTCATGTATATCAAGGCTTATAATGGCTATTGGCTTTGATTGTTGCACAGTGGTTGTAAACAATGATGCTTAAGGTTATATTTGCTCAGTCTGTATTTTAAACAGAATATTCTCACTCCTGTCCACTTTTTTTTCTGAAATCAAAGTTATTGCATTATAGTTTGCATGTCCCCTCTAACTCAGTCTGTTTTGCCAACTCAAAGTCTGACAGACCTCTTAACTGTGTTCCAAAATACTTCTAATTCACATGTTGAAGACTGCCTTGTCATTCTTACTTACACTATATTCTTTTGTCTCCCTATTTACTACTTGAATGTTAATGCTTGATGAGCCTTTTTTTGCGATTTCTTTCCATTTTTGCTTCAGTGGATTCATTTCTCGGGTCATCTAGATAGTGATCTACCATCATAATTTGTATATGATAATCCAATAAAAATTATTCAAAGGGGGTAAAGCCTAAGCATCCTGGAGGATATCTGGATAGAGCAAACAGACAGAAACAAGCCTTGATCACCATAAAAAGATGGGGAAAAATGAAGTATTACTAGAAATTCATAGTTAAGTATATGTCACTAGTGAGTAGAACAGCTAAAGAAAATTTCTTACAGAGAGCACTACTGGGTTTCAATAGCACAATCACACAATTTCTATTTATTTCTCAGAGGACTTTAAAAAGATGAAATCTAAGTACACTGCTGGGGGAATATACATTATTAGGAAAGAAAACCAATGAATTTATTACTGTGAGTCAAATATTAGAGCTACTCTTCCTTTATGGCTCTTATAAATTGTTAACTTAATTAAGCATATTCCCAGGAATCAGCTATGTATGTATGTATGCATATAATTAAATTAAGCTCTAAACACTTTATTAATTAAATAACTGGTTATGAACACAAAAACAGTGTTATGCTACACAGAGAGAGTGAGGTCGAATGGAAAAAGACCAAGATTAACACTCAGCGGCAATTCCCAAGGCCTCCTTCGCTGAGGGAGCTTCACGCAATTTTAATTTAGCTGCATTGGGGTGAGGGATCTCTCCTCTAAAATTGGGATCCAGGAATGCTTCCCCCCTGCTTATCTCCCTGGGAAACTAAGAAGTTTTGGATCTATATATCAATATTCATCCACATGTAAACATCACAAGCAAACTGTTTATAAAATAGATTGTATCCTCTGACATTTGTACTAGTTGTATAAATAAAAATAAATAAAACACTATTAAAAATGAAATCATTACAATAACAATACTACTAAATATACAGAAGTTGAAAGGGTTTTTAAATTATCACACTTTGGAAAATCTGGTATTTTCTTAAATCTTGGGCTAAAACATGATTAAGAAATAGAAATGGTTGAACATGATTGAAAAACAGAAAATATGTTGTTATGGCAAATACGAAATCTGAAAGTAAAAATTTTAACACTTATAAAAATTATTTTAAGAAAAATTTATAAACTATAAATTCTCTACAAAATGATAGAAAAGTTGTATGTAACAAAATCAAAACTTTAAAATTTTTCTCAAAAAATAATCAGGCATCATTAAACACAGAGCATGAAAAAATACAAAACTGAAAATATTCTAAGTACCCATCATCTTATATTAATCCTAAATTTTAAATTGTCAGAAAACAGTGCATAAAATATTGCAAAGCTTTGAAAAATGAGTAAATATAAATAAAATATTAACTTACGTGGCAGGTAAAATCAATACTGAACTATAATGGATAAAAAGGCAGTCAGAATACATATGCTTACGAAAAATAAGCAGGAAATTAAAATGGGGGATGTGTACACAAAATAGAGTTGAGCTTTTTTTTTTTTTGGTAGAACCATAGCACCACCTTCTGGCCATTTCTACATGACAACAGAATTAAAGAGGAGCCAGGGTCTACCTTTCTAAAATAAATGCAAATATTTTGAAGGCTTGAATTTAGCCTCTGACCTCTGACACCAAGAAAAAAAAAATTATATATACATATATATATAATTAGATAAAAAAAACTTTTATTTATTTTAATTTGTTTATAAATCATTACCCTTAAAAACACTTTCCTATCTACAAATTTTTTGCCATTAGCAGCATAAAGATTGCTTATTAGATAAACATTTATTCTGGAAAACACTTGAAAAACAATTATCAAGCGAACATGCATTTGTAAACTATACTGCATACTTACTATAAATCACATTCCTTTATTAACAGAGTATATTTCCAAATATAAAATGACATAGGAACTGCAAACAGAGTCTCTCCAAAATGCATGAAAACTAGCTACTGTTTAAAAGCATTTTATTTCAAATACCTCTACATTTTACCTGGTCATAATGTAATTTAATCCTTTTGGTTTGGGATCTGAGTTGACCCAATAAAGAACCTCCTAGATATAAAGACACATTAAGTATAAATACAATTATTCTTCTATAAAAAATTCTGACTGTACAGAGAAAGACATGTCTCATATGACCTCACTGATACGAGGAATTCTTAATCTCAGGAAACAAACTGAGGGTTGCTGGAGTGGTGGGGGGTGGGAGGGATGGGGTGGCTGGGTGATAGACATTGGGGAGGGTATGTGCTATGGTGAGCGCTGTGAATTGTGCAAGACTGTTGAATCACAGACCTGTACCTCTAAAACAAATAATGCAATATATGTCAAGAAAAAAAAAAGAAGAAGAAGAAGATAGCAGGAGGAGAAGAATGAAGGGGGGGAATCGGAGGGGGAGACAAACCATGAGAGACGATGGACTCTGAGAAACAAACTGAGGGTTCTAGAGGGGAGGGGGGTGGGGGGATGGGTTAGCCTGGTGATGGGTATTAAAGAGGGCACGTTCTGCGTGGAGCACTGGGTGTTATGCACAAACAATGAATCATGGAACACTACATCACAAACTAATGATGTAATGTATGGTGATTAACAATAAAAAAAATTTAAAGGAAAAAAAAATTCTGATTGTAGTGAAGCTGGACTCATGCGGAGTTTGCAATATTTTGAACATTTAAAGAGAATCTTAAATGTGGTTCATAAACTGTGAGGCCTTTTTAATCTTCTGCTAGTGCTTAAAAATACTGACCAAACAAGGGCAAGTGTGAATTATTACCTAATGAGCAGTGGAAAGAAATGACTGCCTACTCCACTTTTTTCCCAAATGGGAGAGATATCATCTTGAAAACTTTTAGCATATTTACTTGAAAGCACTGGTAAATTATTTACATGTAACATGGGTAGATAAACATATTATCCATTTTACTTTCTTCCCCCAGAATACATGCCATCCCACTTCAACTGTTCTTCAATTTAAACACTCAGCAGATTCCACCTGATACGACATTCTCAAAGCAGAAAGGTATTTTTTCATGTCTAGGACTTTGCCAGGCACAATCAAAGGCCTAACCCTCTTCTAAAATAACTGGATGATCTCTAAACTAAAGTTAGAGAAGGGTCATTTCTGAAAAAAACTGAGAATAACTACAGAGAATAACAATGAATTGTGTAAAAAAAAAAAGTAGTGGTTTGTTAGATTTTCTTAATGAGATAAAGATGAGAATTCTGTTGAAGGAATTTTTCACATCTTAGTATCTCAGTGAGAACAATGTCTTTTGGGATGGGGTGGACTTAGAAAAACATGCTAAGATATGTGGCATCTTACAGAGAATTTTCTCAGGAAATGTGCTTATGAGTATGGAGTTGCTGATTTAATGTCTCTTCTGCTCTCTTGGTCTCACCAGTTCCCCAAGTCTGCTCAGGGACAAAGCCGCATACTCTGGGACTGGGGCATTAGGACATCTTTAACATACGGCGTCACTGCAAAATTCTGCTTGGAATCAATTCTAATTCTACACTGTCCACGGGTGGATGTGATCTCCTATTAGAGCAGTTGGTATGCCATTATTCGTTTCTGAGTCAGGGCACGAGTTCACATTGTCCAAGCAAAGTAAAGGCAAGCTACTGAATGTCAATACATAGGGAACACTGCCATTTTTTGTTGTTGAGCATGAGAAATTATGGACAAATAGGAAGAATGTGCCACATTCAGAAAAACAGTTGTGGATTCATATTTATTTTTACATATGTTTCCCTGATCTGGTGGTATTTATTCATCTTTAACAAGACAAAGCTATTACCTGCCACAAAGCTATTCATGCTTTGAATATGCATCCATCTACTGATGACTTAAGACAGGAGCAATACACTAGACATTGCTTTGGAGGGCTTTCCCTACCTTGAGTTTCCTGACAGCATCTCTCACAACTTCTGTTCCTTTAGGCTGCTCCACTTCCGTACTGCCAAGAAACTGAAAATGGCAATTTGTCAGAAATAGGCTTTACCACGTGGTACATCATCAAATCATTTTGAACTGTAACATGGCATAACATATACACATGGGAGGTGCCTGGGTGGCTCAGTTGGTTAAGCATCCGCTTTCGGCTTAGGTCATGATCCCAGGGTCCTGGGATGGAGTCCTGAATCAGGCTCCCTGCTCATGCTCAGTGGGGAGCCTGCTTCTCCCTCTCCCACTGCCCCTAACCCTCCCCCACCTTATGATCACTCCCTCTCTCTCTCTCAAATAAAATCTTTAAAACAACAACAACAACAGAATACACATGGTATGGTAGTAATGCAAACCCAAATCCTAATTAAGCAGATTTATTAATTTATATTATTTTATATTATATGAAAATGTAAATATATTACTTAAACACATACAATGCCTATTATTCAAAGATTTTTTTAAAAAACTTTTTTCCTAAATATTGTCATTTATTTTTTTTCATTTTTAAAGATTTTATTTACTCATCTGAGAGAGAGAGAGAGAACGAGCATGTGCATGAGTGGGTGGGAGGGCAGAGGGAGAGGGAGAAGCAGGCTCTCCACTGAGCAGGGAGCCTGAAAGGGGCTCTATCCCAGGATCCCGGGATCACGACCTGAGCCAAAGGCAGACACTTAACCGACTGAGCCACTCAGGCTCTCCCTAAATATTTTATTTGAAGATTTTTACGGGAAAGAAAACTAAAGCTACTTTCATTATGTTAGAAGGAAAGGAATAAAGTTGACTTAAAAATTTAAGATTTAAAACATATTAATAAAACATAAATTATTAATTTATCTGTAAATTCAAAGCATATAAATGTTTTTTGTTTGTTACTTGATTTAAATGTCATGGTATATTTTAAGATATTAATATGATTTAATACAGTTCATAATTTCAAATAAGCATTTTCTTTGTTTTCCGACACTCTTATAGTACATAAGCTTTTAAAATATAAACTCTTTAAAAACTACTCCAGCTAAGAGCTATAAGCTAAACTACATTTAAAAATAAAACATGGATCTACAATTTTACTAAATTTTAAAATATCCCTGAAGGTTTTTAGCTAATACCTGATCTATCTACCCCACCCCCAAAAGAGAAAAACTTTCATAATAATTACCATGTTGTAACAGACCCTCTAACCTGGAGAGATGTAAGACCTCCTAAACAGAAGTCCAATCTCATGAAACATGTAAGACTAATTAGAATTGAAGTATGGATATTTTATGCTATAAAATATTTCAATATAATAGCAAATAATCATTAAATGCAGTAAGTGTATATAATTTCCCAGACTTTGTCCACATAGTACCAATTATAACACCAGAGTGAGTTAAAAACTCATCACTCCTTATATAAATACACGTGTGTGTGTGTGTATACACTTTATATGAAGTAAATAAGTAGAATTTTTTTATGTCAACTCACAGAATGGAAAGGAGCAAAACAGTAATGTCAGAGTATCTTCTTATATCACATTTTATTCCTTCCCTTCATTCTTGGAAAAATAACAACAATAACGACTAAGGAAATCAGAGTTTTGTTTTTTCAGAATGCGCTCTCTGTATTACCAGCATGAGAATTACCCCAGGAACAGGTTAAAATATAAAACGCAGATGCCCTGGTCTAAAAAATCAGCACCTTTAAGGTAGGGTTAAGGGAATTATATTTCTAAAAGCATCACAGATGATTCCTTGTACGGCAGTCTAAGAAACAGAGTAAGAAACCAGTAACAAGTCAGGGGGTAGCGGGGGCAGGTAAAAAAGTGACCTGAAAACACAGCTAACTGCTGGTCCGCTTTCTCGTGAGCTCCTGGGAGAGAGAGAGTGAGGCTCAGAAGCATTAGGGTAAAAAAAGCTTCAGTTCTCAGATTCTATAAGATACAACAGTTCTTTTTTCTTACGTGCTCAAACTATCCCAAACAACCCTACAACGGCCTACAGACGGTATCATCGGGCACTTTGGTTTGCCCAGGCGTGACCTCAAGTTGGTAACCAGGCCTTCAAAAAAGACCAAAATAAATGGGAAATTCTCAGCTTAAAAGGAATTGAAAACCTGCTTCTAAGATGTGGGACACAGTCAAATCTATTCTTGACCCCAGTGGACCTGTCACATTGCTTCTGTTTCAGATCAGTGTATTCAACCTTGGCTGCGTGAAAAAAATCACACAGGAGCTTTCCACAGACCAGTGCCTACGAGTCTGATTTAATTGGTCTGGGGCAGAGCCAGGGCATCTGTACATTTTAAAGCTCCCCAGGAGATTTTAATGGGTCAGTAGGTTTGAAAAGCACTGTTTTAGATCCTCCGGAAGGGATAAAGGGTTCAAGGTGACAGGAGGAGAGTTAACACAATAGTAGCTATTTAGTTCTGAGTTAATCCACCGGGTAAACTCCTGTTCTCCTTCTCCCTGAATTTATCATATCCCTGAGAGATTCTCCATTAGTGAGTGGTCTAGAGTTCGCAGAAACAGGGAAACAAAGGTAGACTCTTCATTGGTAAGTGATTCTCGACCTAGAAGGAAGTGTGTGATGTGTCAGTAACAGACTGTAAGAGTTACTGGAAATATTTATGGAAGAATATTCATTTTTCAGCAGAAATGCCATGAGTCATAAGTATTATATGTAAATAGGCCCACATGGGAAAATTATGGAAGAACTCCAAGTACATTCTAAATGAATTAACCTCTTGCAGTGCTCCAGGAACCTTTTAATATTCTTTTTAAACAGTGGCTTTAATTAAATCATCTGAAGAATGAAACACAGAGAGAAGCCTTGAATGATGGTAGGAATTAAACTGTGCAGACATCTAATATGGAGCTTGCCACTTAACCCAATTATTCTATGTAGTGTTAGATAACCTAAAGGGAAGTCATTTTAAAAATGAAAAGTAATCATTCATTATAATATTTCCTGTACTTTTTAAATTATAAAAGTCATCATGCTACTTACTCAGGTTGAAGAAAGCATATTTATATGCATTCCATATGTCTATATAAGATATTTATAAAACCCTTAAAATATGATGCAGCATGCTGGAATAAATTCTAGGCTTGGAATCTTAAGATGTTAGAAAAGTCACTTAATCTCTTATTTGACTTTTGAAAAATCAGGATAGTGATATTGCTCTTCTCTCCTTATAAACTTTTTTTTTGAGGGATTCCATTTCTTTATTTAATGACTATATGGGGAAGACACCAGAATTTAGTGGATACTGTTGGTACCTGCTCAGCTGTCCTTTGATAGATCCACGTTATCAGCACTAGGAACCATCCTCTGGCTTCTGCACACTTTGCTGTTGAGAGCTCACACTCCACATCTTCGGAGGATTCCCTTTGAGCAATGAAGCCACTTGGCCAATACTGAGCTAGAAATGCCTGGGAGTTTTTTGCTCCCCCCACCCCACGTTACCACATTTTTTAGTCAATGACTAGTATGAAGTACAAAGGCCTAGCTCCTCTGCTTGGACATAGGGTAAACTCTATGATGTAATGATACCATGCTGAGCTTCCCTCAGAATCAGACTTGAGGTTGGGGCTTCACTTGATGCTGTACTCATCCTTGATTTCTTCCCCTTGTCTGCCCTCCTTTTCCATACCCTTACTTTGCTCCTGGGAGCTCTCGCTTAATAAATTACTTGCACCCAAATCTTTGTCTTAGGATCTCATTCTGGGAGAAACTGACCTGTTAAGACACTACTAAACACTTAATGGCTTACATTTAGGAACATATAGTCCAGCATACAAACTCAGAAATAGGGGCGCCTGGGTGGCTCAGTTGGTTAAGCGACTGCCTTCGGCTCAGGTTATGATCCCAGGGTCCTGGGATTGAGCCCCGCATCGGGCTCCCTGCTCGGTGGGAGGCCTGCTTCTCCCCTGCTTGTGTTCCCTCTCTCGCTGTCTCCGTCTCTCTCTCTCTCTCTATTAAATAAATAAATAAAATCTTAAACAAAAAAAACCAAAATCAGAAATAATAAATGCTCTTGTTATAAGTGCTATGAAAAGGCTTGTATGCAAATTAGAGGGAGGATTTCATCTTTTTCTACTCTGCCTGGTGCCTGAAGCATAAAAGAAAAAATGGAACTCAAAATCAAGCCAAGGCCAAGAGATTATTCTATCCCATACCAACTGAGTTGTTAACTAGCTGGAGGAGTTGAGTTCCAGAATCACGGGGCCCCAAGCAACTGCCATGGTTCAGAGGGAGGTGAAAGAGAATAATGCTGCCAATAAGAAGAAGTAGTTAAGTGTTCCAGGAAATGCCAAAGGGAATCAGAAAATTTTGATCATTATTATTACTAATTAGGGTTGTCAGATTAGCAAATATAATTATAGATCCTGCTGTTGGTGGGAATAATGGTACAGTAGCTCTGGATAATAGTTTGGTAGTTTCTTTTAGAATTAAACATGCACTTATCATAGGATACAACATCTGCACTTTGGGGTACTTATCCCAAAGAAATGAAAATTTATGTTCATGTAAATATTCTGTGCACTGATGTTCAAAGTAATGTTTGTAATAGCCAAACACTGAAAGCAACCCAAATGTCCTTCAGTGAATTAATAGTTAAATTGTGATACATTTATACCACGGAATACTACTTAGCAATAAAAACCAGTGAATTATTAATACACACAACAACTTGCATAGATCTCAAAGGAATTATGCTGAATGAAAAAAAAATCAATCTCAAAAAGTTTTTTTCTGTTAGGTATTTACCTAAGTGAAAAATACAGGATTTTTTTTTTTTTTTTTTCCCTTTTTTCAAAAAAAAAATGGGACATTGGTATGTTTAACATTTTAAACTGAGTAAAAATAATTGCTTTTATGATTTAGCAACTTTATGTTTTAGCTCCTCCACGTGGCAGGAAAAAACAATGATGAGAAGAGAGTATAATGTATCAGACTGTTTTTGCTTTATACATGTCGATTCAGAGTATCATTTTTCAGTGTGGCAAAGAACAAGAGAAAGCTTATGTGCTCTGTTGC